TCAACAGGCGAGTTGAACACCCATGCCCATTTGTGCTTCATCAGCTTTCCTAAGATCTGGCTGCACGTGTCCATCATACAGGTCAACACCTTCTCTGACTCCGGATCGGCCGCCGTCGCCTGACGCTTCTGGTCGGACTGCTCCGTTGCAAACGGGTTGCTCCGTTTATGACCCGGTCCATTTTTCTTCTTATTCTTCCTCTTGGGTCCAACGTCATTCGTCTCTCCGGCAAAACTCTGCGCCGGAGCAGATCTGACGGCGAAGACATCCGGTGCACTGAAAACGGGTTGGGCCTCAAACGCACCTGACTCGATCCGTTCCCTTAGGATCCGAACCTGCTCGAGCTCCGATGTTAGGCGCTTCTTCAGCTCCCTGAGTTGACTCGGGGAGTAGCCGGCGAGATTAAACGTAGCGTAGCCTCCACAAAGCAAGGAATCATCAAACTGCTCGTTGGAGTTGTTCCGATGAGCCGAGTTCAAATTAGGGTTAGGGTAAAAGAGAGGATTATTGGAGTTATCGGCGACGGATTGGGTTGGGTAATTCCTCATAAAGACGGCGCCGCATTGTCCCTGCAACGACGGTTTGTTTAGAGCAGCCAAGACAGCCGGTGCCATACAAAAATCGGAAGGCTAAAGCTCATCTCGGGTTTGTGTCGCGGGTCATAATCGGGTCACTGATCGGATCCGTTAGCAGCAACCGCTTGCGAAAGGGCGGTGACTCATCTCACCGGCAGAATTTCTCCGGCGATCGGGAGAAGAGAAAAATGGCCGGAGAGGCGAAGAAGGGAGAGAGGGTGAGAGAAGGGTTTCGAGAAGACCTTCCGGACCAGAACGAGGAACAAGGGGGAGGGACACCACCTCATCTTAAAGGCGATCGGAATCTGCCCAACAAACCGCTTAGTTGGATCTTTCACCGTCGATTCATGATCTAACGGTTCAGATCCATTCAGTGAAGCTGCCCGATCCAGCTACCCGAGAAATCTGCCACGGATGGCTCAGATCGCTTTAATGTCCACGTGTCGAGTCTCCAGCCGTTAGTGCTTCTCGTGTGTTTTCTTGCCGATTTTTATTTTCATTTTTGTCATGTGAAGTTGGGAATTTAAATAATTAATTGGATTTTTAAAAGATTTTCGTGGCCTTTTTTTTTTCTGGTGCAAATTGGTGGGGCCCACATCGGGACCCACTCTGAAATATCTCTTTTCTTCCTGGATTCTGATTGGTCACTTTTTAAATTGCCAGGTCAGCGGTTCATATTAGCCCTGAGAACAGTTGCCACGTATTGACAGCGGGGATATGCTATGCATTACCCAGTAAGTTGTCGTCTGTAATAAATATATCGATCAGTACCATTTTCTCTCTTTAATTGTTATTAACGTAAAAGCCGTAAAAACAAGTTAGTAAAATAAAACAATGAATTGTCGAGAAAATAAAACTGAGTGAATCCGATGTGTGAAATCGTAAGAAATATTTGCCAGTCTTCCGGCGATAAGGGAGACGGGAAAAGTTGACGGCGGCGGAGATGAATTATTAGGGCAACGTCGCTTTGGAAATGACGAAATTACCCTCAGGGTGTGCGGAAAACTACATGCCCTCTCGCCTGCCTGCCTAGAATTAAAAATCCAGCGGACACCCATTAGCTACAGTTAGGTGAAATCCTAACCCTTTTATTACGTAGATATGAAAAACCTTAATATAATAAATAAATATAATTGGAAAATAACTCAGAAGCGAACCCAGATCTTTCTGGAACCGCAGTGCTCATGACCTCAGTTTTCTTTCTCCATAAAAGAAAAAAAACAGACCAAATTATCTTATATTAAAAGTAACGAAATTATCACCGGAAAATATGTATATATATATATATACACGCATAAAAGAAAAACACCAGAAGAAAGATTTCAAGCTCTGCAGGAAAATGAGTGCGAAGTTTTCAGAAAGATTTCCAGACCCTTAAGAACAACAAAGGGGAGAGAGAGAGAAAGAGAGAGAGAGAGAGAGAGAGAGATGAAGTCTGAAACTGAGGTGAGGACAATGGGTATTGGGTAATGTACGACTATTTTCTATTATTTATTATTATTATTATTATTATTTTATTTCATGGACCCATTACTAGCTTTACATTATTTATTTTTCGCATTCGTTATAGTCTGATTTAAATCAGTTTAGCATTGACACGTATGCAGTGTGCACACACACACACGAAGAAGCTCATATAACAATAATGAATGAGTCGCTGGTGATATTAATATAGATACGTATATGCGTGTATCTCGGTCCGAATCGAAGTGGGTCCCACGACAGCTCAGCACCATCTGCATAACCGTCCTCGAGACTACGCGCCTCCGGAGAGCGTGGTATTCACTCTCTTCTGGCGTGGTAAAATAAAGATGAATGGAAGGATTTGTCAATTTCCTTTAGAACTCAACAGAGAGAGCAAATTCTAACTCTCCCAAGACCAGAACATGAGCTCCAATGGCGATCACCCTCTTCCCGGCCCCATTCGCAACGGTGAGATGCTTGCAGGGTTCGACCACGAACACAGATTCAGTCACTCCATGGGAACGGACAAGAACGCGATCGAACCCAATCAGCTGTTTCCTCGGGACACCTGCGAAAACCGCCGGCATTGTCCAGAACAGCATCAGAACATCGCTTCCGTCCATTTCTCCGGTGTTCGTCACAGCGACTCGAACTTCAAACCTCAGAGATTCGCAGGAGCTTACACTGACCTCGTCCAGTCGTAGGAACTTGAGTTGTTCTTCTCTGTGTTGGAGAAGTTTCTTCCGAGAAGGCTGAGAGAACAGTTCTGATAAGATCAGGCTGATGGGTGCTGATATGATCTTGTACGAGAACTTGGTGTAGCTCAAACCGTGTCCGAAAGGGTAGACTTGAGGTCCAGTGTAGAATCTGTATGTTCTTCCGGGATATCCCCTTGGAGGGTCAGCCCTCATGTTCATATCGGTCATCGGCACCTCGGTGAATGACTCGGGATACCACGTTATCGGAAGTCTTCCACCTGTTTCCACAAGTTTCAAAGTGTTCATTACAGATGAGGTTTGATCTATAATGGAAGGAATGGTAGATATATCTTTCAACCCATAGCCAAAGCTTTAGCATGATGATGATGATGATGAGGGTATAATGCTGAGATGATGACTGTTGCATTATGATAGAACTTGTAGGTAGACTAACCTGGATTGTGATCACCGAATATTATTTCAGCGAGTGCTTGTCCGCCGGTTTCACCGGGATATCCAATCCAGAGAATGCTACCGATTCTTGGCTCGGTTTTGGCAAACGAAACATCTGTTGGCCCCCCACCGGTTAGAACTAAGATCACCGGCTTTTTGCTAACAGATGCAACACGGGACACTAGATCCTGCTGTCTACCAGGCAAGGCAAGACTAACCCGATCAAGATCCTCGGTTTCTTGTGACAAATCTAACCCTGCAACAACAACGACAATGTCTGCTTCTTTGGCAATGGACAAAGCTTCGGCAAATCCAGTACCGGAATCACACGATACATCAGGGCAACCAGCTGCATAAGATGTTTTCCTTACGAACTCTAGAAGTCCATGGAAAAGGGTCTTTGGTTCGCATGGCTTTCCTACAAAAACAAAAGTCGTAGACTGTCTCAGCGGATATGATTCAGCATCTCTTACAATCTACAGATGGGAAAGTCGAAATTCATTACCTGTATAACCGCCACCGATATTGCTTACATTATTTGCCATAGGACCGATGATTGCTAGAGAGGAAACATCATTCTTGTTCAAAGGCAACAGGTCCATATCATTCTTCAGAAGCACAATGCCCTGTTTCGCTGCTTCCAGAGCCAGCTTCCTGTGGCTCGGATCACAGATGTCATCCAATCCGAGTTTTGCAAATTGCCCTTTTCTTGGATCTCCATCAAAAAGCCCGAGACGAAGTTGCACCGAGAAAAGATGAAGAAGCGCCTCATCAATCTGGTCTTCCCTCACCTTCCCTAGCTCAATGGCAGAGTGTGTGTTCCGAAGCATGTATGTTCCACAATTTATATCCACTCCTGCAAATGATTGTCAATAGTGAACATAACAAGTTGAGAAATGAGAAGATCAACTTAGGTTACCTGCGTTTAGGGCATCGGCCACAGCCTCCTCGGGCGTCTTGGTATACCTCTGGTACTCAAAAATGGTTGCCACAGCATCGCAGTCTGATGTAATATACCTGTATGAATGCAGTGTAAGACCCGAGATACGTATATCAGAGACAATAGGGTATCTGAAGAAAACGTGTCTGCTCCTGTAAAAGATACCCGTTAAAGCCCCATTCAGCTCGAGCTTTTTGTAATAGATCTCCTCGTGCACAGGCCGGCACACCATCAACTGCATTGTATGAACACATCAAGCAGCTTGCTTTACCATCTTGTATACATCCCCGGAATGGAGGCTGGTACGTGTCCTCCATGTCCTGCTCTGTGACCTACTAAACCGGGTTTAAACAAGATTAAGCCGACATAAATTTTTGTCTGTTAGGAGCCCGTAAGAGCTTGACTCAAATATGTACACAAGATTACATCTTGTAAAACCAAAATTCTGCATTTTACAAGCAAACACCTTGCAAAAGAAATAGAGCTACCCGTTTTAAATGCCGTTTCCATATATCGAGTACAAGCTTAACAAATGGACAGCATACAAGAAGGTGGAGAACTTTGGTAAGATAAAAAACAGTGGGAAACAGATACTTTACCACTGCATTGAAGTTGTATCTCGTAGAATTCCCCCATTTCTCCAGGTCATAGGCAGTGAAATGTTTGCAACAAGCAGACAACATGAGTTTGTCATCAACATCATCATGATCATGATCATCATCATCATCACCAAATCTTCTTCTCAGCACCTTCGCCTTGCTCCCTTCCTGAAACCCTCTGACGAACTCGACCCCATATTCAGACACCACAAGCGGATCCTCTCCAGGAGTCTCCTGTCCTCTCCCCCACCTCGGATCCCTGAAGACGTTAATATTCGGTGCCCAGAAGGTCAACCCAGCTTGACCCACGTTGTACATCGCCCGACCCTCCACCGCCACGGATGATCCGATCTCGAACCATAGCGTACGGTTGAAGGACGCGGCGGAGACGATTACCTGAGGGAAGCTGGTGGCGGAGGAGACGGAACCGTTGAAGGAGACGCCTGGGCCGTTGTCGGCGATGCCGTGGAGGGATTCCGACCACCACTCGTACGGAGGGATTCCGAGGCGGGGGACGGCAGATGCGGTGTTGGAAAGCTGTCCGAGCTTCTCGGGAAGTGACAGGAGGGAGATGAGAGAAAGTGCTCGCTGTCTTATGGGGAGGGATGTTTTACAGAACGGGTAAGAATTGAAATTGGGAGGTTTGCACGGAAAATCTGGACCAGAGTCGAGGTTTCTGGAGGTTTTGGCAATGGCGGATGAGAGGAGTACGAGGTAAAAGAGGAATAAGGAGACTGATCTCCAGTGGCGATTCAGCATACTGTTTGGTCGCCGAGAAAATCTGTGGAGAAACCTTTACCAAAAAGAAAAAGAAAGAAAAATCTGAGAAAAATCCCCAAGAGACGTTGATCATTTAACCGGACACGGTTAAGATTAGGGGAGCGCTAACCAATCCGTTGGATTAAAATAAACGGTCGGACCGGTTGGTACAATGCTGTTGTCGCCTAAATCGTTGCATCTGATTGGGCTTTATCTAATTGCTCAGTGAACCCCCATTTCTTAATTTTTTAAGCCCATTATCTTTTAGTAAACTAAAGGCTTCTCCGAGGCCCAAACCCAATTATCAAATAACTCTTTCCAAATTTTAATAAAGTAAAAATATAGTAAGTTTATATATACATATATCATATACGAAAAGAAAAAAAGGGTTAAAAAAATAATATAATTAAATCTGAATTTTTTTCAGCCACAAATTTGTAAAGACAGGGTCGGGAGCGAAACACACCAATCATGAAGACAAGGGAAAATAAAACAGAAGTTGTTTTGTCCGAACATTTTTCACATAATAAGGATATTTATCAAAGAACATAATGATAATTAATCATAATTACCGGTTGTACACTACGCCTCCGGACAAAACTTGGTTTACTTGCGCGATTAATCTCAGCCGTTATATTTGCTAGCTGGCCTTAACCAATTAAGAAAATCATTAATTAGATTAAAATATTGAAGATTCAAGTTAAATAAAATCATTGGTTTTGACTTGAGAAGTCACTTGATTGGCGTTACAAACTTGTGGGTAAAAATAAACACATTTGATTATTTTTTTTAAAATAAAATTAACTTAATTTTAAATTGAAACCAAATTTATATATCAAATATAAATTAATTTAAAATAAAATTTAAAAGCCAAAAAATGGAATGATAAACGAAATCTTAATATTGATATATATAGAACTCGATTTTTATATAGTTTGGAACACTATTCTAGAGGGAAATAAAGAATATATAGTGTCGAAATTGATATGGTTTCTAATAAATAAATTCAAAAAGAAATAGCAAAACGAAATTTCGACCGTCGACGGGTAAAAAAGCTTTGTGGGCGAACAGAAACAAGTGTTTCGTTTGTGCAAAAAAAAAAACGTTTTAATTATACTTTAACACTATATACATTTAATCATTAATCGGGGATGCATATACATTTAACTACATATATATAAATATTTTTTCTAAAATAATTATATTTAATACTAACATTTTGATTATTTAATCTAAAAATATAAATAAAACTACCGTAATAATCTTTTATATGTCGCAATCCAAATGGCAAATCTATGGGTCTCACGAGTCACGACCATTCCTCACCTAACGACATTGTGACCCGAATTTTTTATTTAATTCTAATCGATAAATTTGCGATACCATCTAGAAAAAGAGAATATATATTATATTTTGTACATTTTCATTCGGTTATAATATGGTATTGTGTACATTTTATTCGCTCTTACTGAGACAATCTTTCTTCTTTTTTCTTTTTTTCTAAAACTTTTTTTTATTCTGTATTTGATTTTCCATGTAAATGATGAGTTTAACTGGATTCATTAAATGCATATCATAAAATACATGTTATTGTTGGACGAATAATGCATGTATACGGGGAAATCTCATATGAGTTAACAATGAGTATGGTAAATATACCGAGAGTTTAAGGTTTCGGTTATTTATTCGTTCGCCTATCGTTCGTCAGTTACGTCTCATTTATAACAAAAATGTGTCTCGTGAATTCGTATACATAGACGAGAGTACTCAATTAATGAGTTGGAAAGGCAGCAATTGGGATTTCTACCGTATAAAAATAAAATTCAGGATATCATAAGGATATTATGGTCTTATATAAGAAAATTCGAATCGGGAGAACGTGTTGGCGATGTAAGAGAGGTGGGGATGTCATTTTCTGAGGCTCGTCTTTTGTGGGGGTTCTATCTCCATAGCTCTCTTCTGTTGTATTTGACCACTCCCCCTCACGTACTTTTTTTGCACATATATATATATATATTATGTTCATTTGTCCATGGATGATGCGAATTATTCCAATATAATGCAAAGAACGAGAATGTGGCATGGTGATGATGTATTGTAATCGATGGAAATGTGAGAAAGAACGTGCGTATGTATATACATGCATGTCTACATTAGCACTGCGTATCAAATTATTGTATACATGCACACCGTAGGAGTGTAAAAGGAGCCTGGGTTCGCCGGTTGGTTCGCGAGACAGTTCATATTTCTCCGAACTTGGTTGAAAAATATTTGAGTCTAAAAAGAAACGGGTCAAACGAGTCAGCCCGTTTTTATTATATATTTAATTTCTTTTGTTTAAATTTTTTAATTTTTTATTATATTTTATATATTTTTAAAATATTTAAAATAATTTTTAATATTTAAATTTTATTTTTAAAATTTATATATTTAGTCCGCTGGCCGGATCGTTTGGTTCGCAGATTAAGACGATCCGAATTAAATAGATCTATTTTTTACTCACTAAAATACGAGTCGGGCTGAAATGGACTAAAATTTTTCAGGATCGTTTTACACCCCTATACACACGAAACTGATACACATATACGTGTATGTACCATATGTTTATACGTAGAAGGTGAATGCCGTTGCGAACTAACTGTACATGCAGCAGGCGCATTGACGCTGATGTCTCGAAATGCTAACAATTATTTAATTATAATAAACTTATTTATAACATTTCAAATGTCATTTTTTTTCCACGTGATTTGGATATAAATTTAAACTTTGGTGTCCGAAATGGGGTCCAAAGGGGAGAAATTGGAGGAATATAAATATCGAGGAGAAACAATGAACAGACAAAAGTGTGTGTGGAAAGCGGTTTTGATGAGTTTACCATGGGCTGTCTGCTGGTTTCATGCAATGCAACCCCAAATTTCACTTGCGTACGGAAATTATTTTATTTTAGAGTTTTTTTTTCTTATTATTGAATTTTATAAAATACTGTAGTGACAAGCCAAATCGAATTTTCCATTTTATAAATATAAACAATTTCCTCGTGACATGGCCCGTATACACTCTTCTCACCAACTTGCAGATTTAATTTTTGTGTGTGTGGCCGTGAAAATATTTCGATTATTTTATTTAGATTTTTCATTACAGTATCGTGCGTCACCCGAGTCTAATTGCATTTTTACATTAATTCGTGC